ACAAAAAAAAAAAAAAACACACACACACACACACACACACACACACACACACACACACACACACATGGTAGCACTTGTTTGCTATAATCTCAGCACTCTGGGAGGATGAAGCAAGAGAATTACAAGTCCCAACTACCCTAGGCTGGGGACATAGTTCAATGTGGAGCCCCTAAATTCAACCCCTAGTTTAAAAAAAGTTAGATATAATAAACGCACAAACAATGACTTTTACCATCTACAATTTCAGTCAATATGTTTACAAAAATAAATTTTATAATGCTTTTAACATAAACCTTAACTTAGTCTGTTTCAATTAATGCTGATAGAGCTATGAAGCACCAATTAGCAAAAGACCCAAAGCAGTGGTTCTCAAACTTCAGCATGTAACAGAATCACCTAGAAAGCCTGCTAAAGTACAGACAGTTGGTCCTCACCCCAAAATTTTGATTCAGGTCTGAGGTAGGGTCTAAGAATTTGCATTTCTAACAAATGCCCAAGGGATATGGATACTACTTGTCCAAGGACCACAGTTCTTCAGGAACTACTGATCTACACTAACTAAACACTATCAATGATACCAAGAGGAGCGAATGAAAAAAAGTATACAGAACCCAACCTCAGCATCAGTATAAACTTGCACACTTTTGAGTAGTAATTAATCTGTTTCAAAATCATTTCTAAAAAATCTAAACAATAATTACTGATTATTTCACAATAATATTGGATTGTATACAAGAGAATTTTCAAGTTTTTTTATGGATCATGGAGTACTAAAATCCAATATAGTAAAAGTAATTTTTAGATTACTGACATATTTAAGGTTGTAGTAACAATGCCAAGATTATAGATTCAATCTGGTAGCTTCACCTAGTCCTGCAGTTACACTAGTCAGAAGATGTGATAGGAAACACCATGTTAAGGACAAGAGTGTTTGCCCATATTCAAATCCATCACCTCTAATCCAAAATCCTATTTCCCACCAACATGTCACCTTGTAGTGACCTTGAAACTAAAGATGAGATCTTGCAACAAAATGTATTTGAGAAATCTTGAAAATTGTTACCTCTTTATAAGTATAATTAAAATTCAAAGAAACAGAAATCAAGGATTTGCAATTTTCAGAAAATTTTAAAGAAGACATAATTAGTTGGGGACTATTTTGAGCATGTACACTTTCCTCCTTTTTAATATAAATTAAATATAATTATGGGATACTCATAAATGATAATAAATGTATCAACTACATACCAACTGACAAAACAAAAATAGTCTAGGACAAATAAGTAGTGTCCAGAATAACTACAAAATGAGGATACACAATGGATAAAAGAAATATGCATTAAACAGAAATATCTGACAAGGTAAATCAAGAGAAAAAGGGACTAAGACAATCAAGATAGGAAATGAAGAAGTCAGAATAACCTCAGCATATGACAGGACTGGGCACAAAAAAGATAAGACAACCAAAAAATCTCAGAATATCAAGAAGCTTTATATATAAAATTAACATCAGATAGGCATTGTGGCACATATCCGTAATCCCAGCTACTAGGAAGGCTGAGGCAGGAAGAGTACAAGTTCAAGGCCAGACTAAGCAATTTAGCCAGACCTTGTCTCAAAATGAAAAGAGAGGGCTTATGATGTAGTTCAGTGCTCCCTAAGTTAAATCCCCAGTACTGCAAGAAAAAAAAAGGAAAAATTATCTTCATCTTCAACCTGAAATTGTAATTGTGCAGACCAAATTCAAGAGAAGAAAACATTTTTAATTCTTTGATGGGAGTATCAAATAAGACTAGCAGTGAGTATTCTGTCAACAATGCTTTATTTTGATGTTCACAGAGCACCCATTCTTATTCTACCATCTGAATATGCACAGTAAAAAGCAATCAATAAATCTACTCAAAGCAGTACATTCCATAATACGAAAATGAAAAATGGAGAGCTAGACTAAGATGGGAAAATACTGCCAGTACAGTATCAAATTCTGCCATATAACTTGTTATAGGTCTGAGGCCACATCCACTCTGGCTCTTACATCTGGCTTACAATAGTGTTTTATTTATATTCCATATAGTCCAAATTACATCAAGAATCAAAGCAAGACCAACAAGAATGAAATCATGGACTACATAGCTAAATTATCAGTTTGCTGAGTGAACCTTTTCAAAACTGCATGACTGGACATGGTGAAAAATGGACAACAGGCAAGACGTATAAGAGTTGCTAAATGGTTTGCTAAAGTACGTCAACAGCAACAGGACTAACCAAATACTAGTTTTTTAAAGGACAAGATGACATTAACTGCAACTGATTAGAAAACCACTGAGTATCATAGAAAGAATGAAACTTCTCTTTTGTGACCAAAGGCATCAAGTTTAAGATGACCAAGAAGGCAACATTAAAAGAAACAGCAATTCTGAAAAGAAAACAAACACATATCAAACACATTTAGTAGAAACTGCAGACTGCCCAACAGTCCTTCATCCAATTTCCGTAGTGTGTCATTTTCAAAAAACAATGGGCAACCAAATGGGTTGCTATAATATTTTTTAGATTTATGTTCCTATTTCCTAGAAAGGCTTAAGATATCAATTAACACATTTAAATATCACACATAATATTTCAACTGAGTTTATCTTATGACAGAATTACTGAAAGAAACTAAAGATAAATATATTACCAACTTTTGTTACAAATTTCAAGTTTTTTGCTAAGCTGAAGAGAAAGATATAGTTAAACAGTTTCCATTTTCTTTTCTTTCTTTCTTTTTGTTTTGTTTTGTTTTGCACTGGGTATTGAACTTGGGTCTTTGAGCTCATTTGCATGAACAATTTTCCTTGTAAACTCGGCAAAAATTTATTTCAATGTATTGCATAACACATTCTGTGACATACTGAACATTACTAACTACAATGTTGCAAAAGACAATTTTCTAATTTAGCCTCTGTATAAAAACAAAAAAATATAAAAATAAGCTACAATTTAAGGGTAACGGTACTGTGAAAGACTGGGGTGACATAGTCCAAAGCATTAACATTCTGCTTTGCTGTAAAATTTTTTTAAATCTACATATAGACTTAACATAACTACTAGAAACATTATAGTACATTCTGGCAGTGTATTAGACTCATTTGTGGTTGACTGTTAGACTAAATTAAGTTTCAAGTTAAGCTTTCGAACAAGGGTATATAATAAAGCTTTTATATGTTAATTAAAGAAAGTGCCACACACAGGTATGATGATTAATAAAAGGTATGAGCCAGGCATGGTGGTGCTCAACTGTGTACTCAACACTCCAGGAGGCTGAGGTTCCAGCCCAGCTGGGCAACTTATTAAGACCCTGTCTCAAAACTTCAAAAAATAATAATAATAAATAAATAAAGTGCTGAGGATGTAGCTCAATGTGAGTCCTGAATTCAGTCATCAGAATTAAAAAAAAAAAATTAGAATAATATAGCTCCTATACAGTAAATATCAAATATATGTTATTTCTGTGTCTTCTAGGGAAAGACATGAAAGCGGTATCTCTTATGTAAGAGTCATATTTTTGTCCATAGACAAAGCTAATCAAAATGCTTTCTAGTTGTTTTCTCAAATTCCTATCAGTAACATTTTTTAAAACTTAAAATATATATATATACTTTAAGTTTGCTAGGGTATCTTTTTTAAGAAATGAATGAAAGTGGCACAGCTGGGTGGGTACATTAGTTTTTAGTTATAATATGTATTTTTCGTATTCAAAATCTAAATCAAAGGTTTTCTGTAAAAGTAACTGGTAATAACATGTTCATTCATCTTACTAAATATTGTCATTAAGGGAAAAAAAGTCAAATTTTAGAATTCCAAGAGACTATACAGATTTTCTCAACCAACTTCCATATTTTTAATGAGAGGTACAGATTTAGAAAGGTTAAAGGACAGACCAAATAATTAGCTGATGTTAGCATGAAAGTCCCGATTTCCCTTCTAGTACTTTGTTCTAATACTGTATATGATGCTACCTCTTGTGATTCAGAGTAACTTCTCTCCCTTGGGTGAGAGAACTACTAGCTGCCTCATCCATTCTCTTTCTATTACATTATATTCTGAGCCACAGTTGTCATCTACACTTTCCCATAAAATCATAATGTTCCAACTTGTTTTGTGAAAGGATTTTACAGCTGTGTATATAAATCCCTAACTTTCTAAATTTTACAGTAATAAAAAATACTCGAATGTACAATAAACATAATCAAATACAAAGAAAAATTCTGTCCTGAACAACACAATGAGCAACTTCAGAAGACTGAGCTCCTATAACATGAGCCCTCTATGTTTTGACGGGAAATACGAGGCTGATTAAGATATGGTCCTTGCCTTGAAGTAGCTTATAACCTAGTAAAGAAGACAACTAAGTCAACAATTAAATGTACTTAAGGACTCTGAAAAAAGAATGAACAAGGAGTGATGTTTGCATATAGGGAAAGAAGCGAATTTAAAATGATGAAATCAGTCAAAGGTTCGTCAAAGACGTATTAAACACCACAGGAAAAAATATTTAGCAGAATACAAAAAATAATTTTAAAGACTGAGTAATTATTTAAGAAAAAAAAGTACGTCCTCTCATACAGCAATTTAGTCCAATAACTATTAAGATTACTGGGAAATAACACGTTTTTCATTGTAGCTGCATAACAAATTTTTATTTGACTATTTGAAAACCAGAGAAAAGGATTGTATCTAACACTATATCTAGGTAATATTCAAAATAGTTCTCTGTAAAGGTGTATACAGAATTCCCCCATCAGGTAAAAGAGAAATGGCAACCTGGAGAACCGGCAGCTCACAAAGGAAGAAAACTACTCGCTTTGCTTCCTTAAACTAATCCATAGAGATTTACTCAGATTCTTTGATACTGACTTTCAAGATTTAGAAAAACTGCAAGATTTACAACAGCAGAACAAAGGGGAAAATTTTTAGTTACATTTTTAGTCAAAACTGGGGGATGGGGAAAAAAAATCAAAGTGAAGGAGAAAGACCAAAAGGGATAAGTGAAGCAATGAGAACGAACGCAAAAGGTTGGACAAGAACCCCCAAAACAGATTTATGAAATGATGGAACACTGAAGGATTTTTTTTTTTTTTTTTAAAAAAAGGGGGAAAAAAAAAACAGGAAAAAAAAAAAAAAAAGGAGGGGGGGGGGGGGGGGGCCAAAAAAAAAAAAAAAACTTGAGAGGGATCAAGGAGAAAATAATGAACTGGAGCTACCTCGACCAGGGAGAAACGAGACTAAAGAAAGGCAGAGGAGCCAATAAAGAATAGAGTTTTAACCACCTTTTCCTCACCCTCTATGCCCGAGAGGGAGAAGAGGTGATTTCCAAGTCCCGGGGAAGGAACTCTGGCGCAGCACGCAGGAACCAGAAGCCGCGAGTTGGGGCACCCTCCGGCGGGTCCCTGGCCTTCTCCATCCCCCTCAGACGTTGGGCGGGGCCCGGGCGTCCTGGTTACCTGGACAGGGAGTCCACGCTGGGCGGCCGAGCCACCGCGGGCTGGGAACCGAGACTCTCGCAGCTCGAGCTCTTCTCCATGACGCGGCAGGGAGAGCCGGAGAGAAGGGCTGAAGGAACCTGCTCGGCTATCGCGCAGGAGGGCCAAGGACTGAGTGCGAAGTGTGCCAGGCGGGGGCCGAAGTCAGGCCAGCGCGGGCCGGGGAGGGAGACCGGAAGCGGCCATGTTCGCCCAGACTGCACCGCGCCCGGAGCTGCCCCGAAACCCAAGACCCCGCGGCGCCCCTCGACGCTAGCGACGCGCAGACTCTGTTCGTCCGCTCTTCCCCGCCCCTGGTGCGGACTTTGGGCTGGCGGAGAGGTAGGCTGCGGCTGTCGGGGAGAGAGGCTTCGGTGTGAGGAGAGGGACGTGGACCCGGGAGGGAGGAGAAATTCTAGAAATAATGAGAGAACTCTAGAATTTCAGGAGAAGAAAGAGACTGAAGGATTTAAAGGCATGGAGATGGCAGAGTAATGAGAAGAAAGTGGGTAGGCGGTGGGACAAAGAGACCAAACGCGGGCGGTGGGGGAGGGGGTGGCAAGGAAAAAGGAGCAAAAGGGTAACTTAAAGGATGAGAAAAACAGAGATGAAATGGCGAAAAGTAAATCAAATAAGGGACTGAAAATAATGATTAGAGGGTAGGATGGGTTTCGTGAAGGTCACTGTAGAGCCACGCAAACATGGATTCAAATTCTAGCTCTATCAGTTAAAAAAAGGAAAAAGATTTAGCTTTAAAGATTCGATGAGTTGCTCAAACATGCCTAAAACAATGCTTGGTATATAGTAAGCACGAAGATATTAACCAGTAGCGTTACCACCTACCCCTGAAGGGTTGATAGGATGGAATGGACAATATAACAAATTCATTTAAATGGTAGCTGTTTTGAAGGGAAGATTTGGGAAGGATGGCAGATCAGTAAGAAGTGGTTGGTAGAGGAAGGGTAATAGGCAAAGTATGCTATAAGTAGGAGAAGAAAATAATGCTCAAAACTCTTCGACCTCTGGCCAGCGTTGAAGAAAAGGCATAGGGCAAGCTGAAATTTTTAGGCCTACTAACTTGAATTGTATGGGATTGTATGGCTCGAAAATGTCTAGAGGAAAAACACTTCAGCATTAATTCATTGTCTGCAGCAAGAAAGGTGGAAGAGGAAATGGAAAGGGAGCTGAAAAAAAAGGCACAGATATGCTACTACTGAATGTAGTGGTTTTGAATAGAGGACAAACTTAGCCGTCCACTGCCCTTTAAAATTCCCTTACAAAGCAGGAAGGGACTGTGGAGAGATAGAACTGTTAGAATAGGAACTGGGTAAAGGGAAAATGTTTCTGCTAGTGATTTTTTTATTACAGAGGACACAGGATACAGAAAGGAATTTTTCTAGTTTAGACAATTTTCATGTATATAAAATGCAAAGATTATGCAAAAAAGTCAGTCCTTTAAAAACTTCCTTGGTAGGATAAATATAAAATTAACTTGAACTAGACGTTAATTTTTACTGTACAATTGATTTTAAAAATCTTAAACTGCAGTTCTGTGAAATACTAACTCGCAAATAGATTCCCAGAAAAAAACAAACTAGCTTAGTTGTACTCAACATAAGCTAGAGAAGGTATTAACGAATGAATATGTTTAACCACAAAGAGTTTAGCCTTTTTCCATATTCTAGATTGGCAAGGACAGATAGCAAGGTATTGTTTCTATCGCTGTAATTTGTACAAAGACCCAAACTGCTCTGAGAGACAAAGAAAATAGGTCCTTAGGAAAAAAACAAAACAAAACACTAAAACAAGCATAAATCTGTACAGTGATTCATGGAAGAATTTACTTACTGCTTCTCCATCCCTACCTGCCTTCCAAACTTCTGATTATCACCTGATGGTTTGACTTGGATTTTTCAAACTGTATGGAAACTGAAGAGCTTTTGAATAGGAGACCCACATACTTTGTTCTACTCAGTTTATTTCTAGTATCGTGTTAAGCACTTAAAACCTGCCTGATGATGAATGATTTGTATATGGACCTATCTAGTGATTAATGAGGAACAATTATTAGTCAAGTGGAGAAAGTCTGGTATCAGACAAGCCTTCACTGCAGTGCTCATTCTTTGACTAAACTTATTGTATACTAGTGACTATTCCTCTGAAATAAAAACCTAGTTATGGTTTAGGTCCAGAATGTCCCCCAAAACTCTCATGCATGCTAGGCAGGACTCCTCAAAGCTGATTAACCATGGAGTTCTATACTCTTCAGCAGATATATCTACTAATGAGTTCAGTATCTGAGTGTGTTAGGAGGTGGGCCTGGTTAGAGGAGAGTCACTGGGGGCCTTATCTAGAAGGGTGTGGCTCCCTCTCCCCCTCCTGGCTCTGCTTTCTGCTTCCTGGTCACCATGTATGAGCAGATGTCCCCTCATGGACCCTTCACCAGGCCCTCTCTACCTTGGAGGCAGCCAGTAATGAAAAGAACCAACTGAAATTATGAGCCAAAAGAAGCTCTTCTTTAAGTTGTGGGTATTGGGTATTTTGTCCCAGTGACAAGAAAGTGACTTAAGACATACATGTAACAGGTTGCTTTTCTCTACACAGAGAAACAGAGGAGGTTCTCAGTAAATAGGCCTATTGCTATGATTTGTTTCCTACTGAATTTAGTGCTTTACCATTAACCCAAATATAAAATAGCAACATCAGGATGAAAAACAAAGAATACGTTAGCATGATCTGAAAGTTATGTTGCTGAACATAACTGCTGATATGTTGGCTGCTATGCCATATACTCAAGAGAAATCGACTTGATTAGCACTATCTATAGATCAGTTGTGCGCTCCCCCCACAAGTTCTGGAGATTGAACCCAAGACCTTTGCCCTGAGCTACATCCCAGCCCTTTTTAAAATGTTGTAGAGTTAGAATTTCACTAAGTTGTAAAGTTACCCAGATTGGACTCCAACTTTCTGTTCTCCTGCCTGGCCCCCCAGAGTGCTGGGATTATAAGAGAACACCATGACACACTTCATCCTAGTCTACATCTAATGAAACTTTTGCTATAGTCAATTGATAGTCTAGGTACAGCTCACATTAAATGGTTAACTTTAGCCCTTCCCTGAAGTTATTTTTCTTTCCTTTAATCTAGGTCTGTATTTCTCAAGCTGTCGTAGAAAAAAAAAACTAGTATCTTGTTTTTAATTTCCATCACTAATCAGTACATTTTAGTATATAAAAAATTAATCATCTGAACAATAAAATTTAAGAAAAACATAAGCATGCAATATTTAAGGCCCCCAAATTTTATTACATTTAATAAATGTAGTAAATACTCTAAAAATTCATAGAAAATTTTAAACACTTGGCCCCAATCTGTTCTCATCTCCTCAGGGGTAGATAATTAACATATCACATATGAACACTGACTGTGGGACCACAACTTGAATAGGACTGTTTTTGACCTATGGTTTGGTATTTGTCAGTCTAACAAAGGCTACTTGGATGAAAATAAGGAAATAAATATCTAAAACATAATATTTAAAAACATCATGTATACATAAGCCTTTAAATTTATTATCTGTAGCATTCTACCCTTATCTATGGTTTCACTTTCCACAATTTCAGTCAACCATACTCAACCACATTCTGAAAATATTAAATGAAAAATAATTTGAAATAAACAATTCACAAGTTTTAAATTGCTCACCATTCTAAACAGCGTGATGAAATCTCATACCATTCTTCTTCTTCTTGTCAAGAATGAGAATCATCTCACCAGGCAGTAGCCTTCTCCTTTATCATGTAGACTGTGGTAGTATCAGTATTGCAGTGTATGTATTCAAAAAACCCTGATATAGTAGCCTAATGTTATGTCACTATGCCTCTGTCGCTTACCTCACTGCATCTCACCGTGTGGACATTGTATCATCACATGTCATCATAAGAAGAAGGGTAAATACAATATAATCAGATATTTTTGAGATCATCTTCATATAACTTTTATTATAATATATTGTAATAATTAGTCTAATTACTAGTTATTGTAACCTTACTGTTCCTAATTTATAAGCCAAACTTTATCAGAAGTGAGTAGATACAGGGAAAAGCACAGTATAAATAGGGTTTAGTACTACTAGTATCTGTGATTTTGAGAGTGATTTCCCTAGAGGTCTTAGAACTTACCCCCTTGGATAAGGGTGATTACTATACATCTAAAATTTTAATTTTTTAATAGTTTCATTTAAGAATTTCCACTTCTAGCTGGGAGGTACAAGCTCCTAAAACTATTTTATTAGGTAACAATTACAAACTTTAGACAAAAATTTTAAAACACCCAAGGATTCAAGAAAGTAAACAGAAGCAGACCAAGTCAAAACTGTTTGCTCCAGTATATTTCCATAAGCTTCTTGATTAGATTCCTTTCTAGTCTGGAAGTCCCTTAAATAGTAAGTCACCATATTATTGATTATATATATTTTTTTATGGTATCAGGGATCAAACTGAGGACCTTGCGCTTGTGAGACAGGCATGGTGCCACTCAGCTAAATCCCCAGCCTAGATTGGCAAATTATGCTGATTATGTAAGTCACTCTGCAATCTGTGCATATTTTTTCACAAAATTAGAATTTCCCAAATGTATTGTAACCCTGTAATACACCTGCAGAATTCTTGTTATTTTTTTATGGTATCAGGGATCAAACTGAGGACCTTGCGCTTGTGAGACAGGCATGGTGCCACTCAGCTAAATCCCCAGCCTAGATTGGCAAATTATGCTGATTATGTAAGTCACTCTGCAATCTGTGCATATTTTTTCACAAAATTAGAATTTCCCAAATGTATTGTAACCCTGTAATACACCTGCAGAATTCTTGTAAATATCTCTCTAAGAATTCTTACTATTAAATATTGCCTGTAAAAAAAGCAAAAGAATTGCATATTGACTCACTCCATGAAGTTATGATGAGATC